TTTACAAAACGTAGTACCAGTCAGAGTTTGAGGCAGTACCACATTATGGAGAGTTAGTACCAGATATCCTGTCCGTAGTACCATTTGTAATGAACACATAAAAAGACCGAATTTCGGTCGCAAATGATGTTTATACAACCCATAATCACTCTGGTATTAGTTTATATAAGATTTGATATTTGGTTAATTAAGTTCGATCGCAAATTGGTCACGAACTCAACACACTAATGGAAAAACACCTTAATACACTTCAACTCATTGAGTGGTACCAGTTTCTACGAAAATAATACCTCATTTTCTTCTACATAGTACCTGTTATTGATCAATTAGTACCAACTTTTATGACGAAAAATTGATTATTTCAATTTTGCTCAACATTTACAAAATGTAGTACCAGTCATAGTGTAATGCAGTACCAATTTATGGCGCGATAGTACCAGATATTATGTCCATAGTACCACTTGTAATTAACAAATAAGAAGACCAAATTTCGGTCGCAAATGATGTTTATACGACCCATAATCACCCTGACATTAGTTTCTATGATATTTGATATTTGGTTAATTAAGTTTAATCGCAAATTGGTCACGAACTCGACACACTAATGGAAAAACACTACTTATTACACTTCAATTTATTGACTGGTACCGGTTTTGACGGATATAATACCGCTTTTTCTTCTACGAAGTACATGTTATTGATCAATTAGTACCAGCTTTCTGGAATGAAAATGTAATACTCCGATTAAAACTTCACAAACTATTACCTATATTGCAGTATGAAATGTCAGTATATTGTAAAAAAAAAAAATATTACTCATAAAATGTCATTTACTACCCACTCTTTGGAATGAAGATGAGTACACAATTAAATTTTAGCATAAATAAATGTGATCGCCTAGCGGTAGGATGGTATAGGAGGTGGCCTTGAGAGTGTGGACTCATCCAGACTCGGGTGAGTCCCTCTCTGCACGAACCTTCCACCATTTTTTTTGCACTTATAATGATTAAAAATAGGTATAAATCATACAGGTACTAGGTAGAACAAGATGTGGTACTATGTTGGATAAAACAAGTACTAATTAAATTTTAGTATGAGTGTTAAAAAAAAAAAAAAAGATGTGGTACTATGTTGGATAAAACAACTACTAATTAAATTTTAGTATGAGTGCAAAAAAAAATGGTGGTATGAGCGCAAAGGGGGACTCAAACCCGGGTCCAGACCCTCAAGACCGCCTTCTCTACTATCATGCCGCTAGACAATCACATTAATGCGCATATTTAATTGTTATGCCTTTGGCTTGAGATTTATAAAGTCCTTAACCTCCTTGGCTTATAAAAATTATATTGTATCTCTTGACTTAATAAGTTATATAAATTGGCATATTTACCAATTTAATTAAAAACTTAGACTTCGGATTACTTTTTGAATTAACCTTTTGTGTTTGAAATTCACCAATTTAATTTGGTGCTTAAAATATTAAATTTAAGTAATTGGATTGAATTCTTGAAACTTAGAATAATTTACTTGCTATTTCTTGAGACTAAAATCGAGCAATCTCATAGATGAATAAAATCGTGACGCTACACTCAACAAAAGTATGTACTAATTGAATTAGCACTCTTTCGAAATTCATCGGCGCCGTCACTGAATATCTGTACCTCTCATTTGATGCAAAATCAACAAGAATCGATTGATTTATCTTGCACTAACAACTCCGATTCTCCTTATGAGAAATCAACATATGGTACGATTTTCCCTGCGTTCATGATAAAATAGTACAAAGATTTATAAAAAATGAAACTAGTTAAAAAAATTAATGAACTAGGATATGATAAAAACACCATATTTCAATAATAAGTTCATTAATATTATGAAAGCAACATTACCCGCTCATGCTCATCGGGATGGATTGAACTCCATCACCCGGTCTTCCATTTCTTCTAATGGTCGGGCTTTTATTTCTTTCAATGACAAGTATCTCTACAATATTTACTTTCCAACAAACATGTAACTGAATCATGTTTTTACATCTTCATCATCGGACAAACTAACTTTCTTTTTTTTTTTCTTTGGCGCAATTTAGTTTAACACGACGGTTTCCAAATTAACAATCGGCCACCTCTTAGCAATGAGAGTGTACACTTCGTCAAATGTTAATCCAAGGTGCATAAAGAACGCATACAATTAATTTTTGTAGGTACAACTCCCTAATATATCACTTTGTGCACGTTCCATGTATCTAACAATAATTGGATAAAACAAAACAACTTCACATTTTCCAGCACATATGGTACCAAACAGTGAGCAACATGGTACTAGATATATAAATAGAGGTACAAAAATCATGAATAGTGGTACTATGATTATTATCATCTTATTTTTTTGTTTTATAATGAATAACACTTAACATAACCTAACAATAGCATAAATTTGGTATACATGAACAACAAAAAAGAGATTATGATCACTTTATTTGTCTTCGGGTAAATATAAACAAATATTCAAAATTGAATTCTTAACAAATTAACCAAAAATATATGAATTAAAGATGATTGTTGGACTCCAAAGTCCTCATATAATACATATATTACTTATTACTTCAAGTTTTTGTCGGAAAAAAGGTTCAATGTTGCCGGAAAAATATGAATTTTTGGCCATAGAAATTTGACGTCGGGATCACTTAATTCGCCGGATTTGTTGTCGCCGGAGTTCTTTTCGTCGAATTTGGTGTCGCCGGTGAGATGAAGCTGCAAAAAAAAAAANNAAAAAAAAAAAAAAAAAACGTGGCCTGCAGATGAAGCTACATAAAAGAAGATGGAGATAGTGATTTGTTGGGGAAGAAGCCAAAAATAAAATATTATTATTTATGTAAGGTTAATTAAAACAAAAATAATTAAATAATATGTAAATGGGTATGGTAGTGGGATGATGTCACACTAGAATTTCTTTTTGAGTTATTTTAATAAGAGAGATTTAAATGGAAGTTGAATAGAGGGGTAGGAAGTGTAGTGGAAAGAAATAATGCCTAGGGACTGACATGGAAGTTTGAAAAAGGATTAGGGATTTTTAAAGAAGTGTCCCGAAAAATAAAAAATGAATGGGGAAATAAAAAATGAAAAATGAACAGTCCGCCATGAGGTCCGTTGAAATCTTTAGCCAGCACCTTCACGCCGACCAGTTCAGCCATCCACGTTCAGTGACCTATGTCGCAGTTTGTACAACTACCATCAGCAAGCCTGCAACATTCTGTCTGCGTGTCCAAGCAGCTTGACAACCAATGACCAAAAACCGACCAGTATATCGCTATGGCTTCCAGCCGCTGCCTTCGGCAATGAAATGCTGGGAAATACAGCCACACAATGGTTAACCATGTCACGCACAGATGCATCTTCGGTCGATTCTATGCAACTAGCCTTCAGCCATCCGCCATCGAACAGAAACGCATCGGTTAAATCTCACGACCTTACCTTTATTGTCTGTTCACTGGCAATCTTTCTGGAAACCACATCCATGCCTCCGATCAGTAATGCTTGTCATTGCCAGTACCCCGCTCGTAGCCTCAACCTGAAACTCACCCACAAACATCTCACACAACCACCTCCGACGACTTACTAGGTAGCATCAGTTCGACGTTCAACGCGATGGCCGTCGACTAGTTCATTGTCCAGTGAGTAGCCTGATGCAACAACCGCCTACCTTTGGGCATGCTTGGGACCAAATCTGACATCTACTCGTTCGGGGTCATGCTGCTGCAAATCCTCACGGCCAGCCAGCCATGGGCCTCTCGCACCATGTAGAGACCGCAATCGAGTTAAGCCAATTTGCGGATGTGCTCGACCATACAATTGGGGACTGGTCAGTGGAGGAGGCCTTTCACTGGCCAAACTGGCTTTAAAAGTGTTGTGAATTGAGGGGGCCAGACATGCCCGATCTTGACTTGGTGATCCTAACTGAGCTCGAGAGGCTGAGGGACGTGGGATTGGAAGTATCGCGTGGGTTGAGCCTTTTCTATGCACACTTGCAGGGTGATTGGAAGTCTCATGGACGTGGTCGAGGTCAATCGGATTGAGCAGCTCCTCCCCGACGAGGCCTGCCACGGAGCCCACGATGAGCCCGACGTGCAGAAGGAAGCAAGCCTTGATGTGCACACAGCCCTCGTCACACGTGTCAGTTTCCACTACGAAAGGGAGGCGGTGGTGGAGGCCGGCGGCGACTCCAGTGGTGTAGCCGAGCACGTCTCCGACGACCATGAAGAAGGTGAAGAGTTCGCTCTCGAGCGTAGATGAATGCTCTGTTGAGCATAGATGGAGATAGATTAATTCATATTATTGGACCATGTACGTGTCGACGACCTCACTATGACGACGACGCTCTCTGTCGGCGGTCTACTGCGCGGGGCGAGTAACGCCTGCACCTGGAGAGCGACGGTCTGCTTCATTTTTCTTATTCTTTTAATTTTATTTTTTCGAAATCAACTTGTTCATTTTTTTTTCATTTATTTAAATATATGAAAGTATTGAAATGTCCTGAAAAATCAAGTTTTTTAGTCAAACTACTTTTATAACCGGTCTAAAGACAACGTAAAAAGAAGGTTTATATGGTGATTTGCCAAGATCGCTATATTTCGAATGACAAAAAAAAAGAGTAATGCTATATGTACATAATATTGTACATCGGGATGGACATAACACTCACATTGAGTGGGACCCACCAAAAATTAAAAATCAAGTGGACCCCACTCCATGTGAGTGTTATGTACAACTCTATGTACATTTATTATGTACACACAACATTACTCAAAAAAAAAAATGTTTTTTTTTCCTAATTTATCAAAGATTTGAGCCTATTATATGCAATGCAAGCTAGAGTGAAGATAATGTGAATACTCTCGTCACAACAAATGTATACCCAAACCCAACACATCATTTGGGCAGCTGGAGAAGTAAAAATTGCACGAATACACAGATTTGATGGAAGTCCGCCTTAATTGCGACAAAATGGCAGAAAAAATCTTATTCCCGTTATTTGCGCCGCCGCAGCTCCTTCCCGCCTCTCACCGGCCCCCCACCGAAATCCGTTTCTCCCGGTGGAACAACTCGAAATTCCGCCGTGAGCGTGAGCCTCAGGTACAGAAAGAGCTCGAGGACAAACGCCGCTTCGAAAAACGATTCGATTCCGCCCTCACAATCGCACATAACTACAACCCTGCCCCTCCCCTCCCCACCACCTCCAAATCCACCGGCACCCCGTCGGCCCCTTCCTCCCCTTCCATCCCCGGAAAAGCTTCCAAGTACTCCAAAAAACCCCACCCCGCCTTCAAGCCCCGCAAAACCAGAGTTGAAGAAGACGAAAATAATGAAAAAAATCCAACTCAAAACCAGAACCAAAAAAATTCAGCTGGCCTCAGTTTTAGAATCGACGAGAATGGAGTTTCTTATGAGATGCCTGAGGCCCCCTTCTTGTATCAGTATAGTTATACGGAGACACCTAAGGTGAAGCCAGTGAAGCTGCGTGAGCCGCTGGTGTCCCCATTCGGACCTGACACCATGTCAAAACCATGGCTGGGCCGGAGGCCGATGCAGCCCAGCAAGAAAAAGCTTCCGGAATTCGACTCATTTAATCTGCCACCGCCTCATAAGAAAGGGGTGAAGCCAGTCCAGGCTCCTGGGCCATTTCTTCCTGGTTCTGGTCCCAAATACGTTCAGTCCCGGGAGGAGATCCTTGGGGCGCCTTTGACTAAGGATGAAATCGAGGAGCTCATGAATTCGTGTAAAAAGACTAACCGGCAATTGAATATCGGTGTGTTGTTATGGTTGTTTGTTTGATTGATTGATGTAGTGAGTTACTGATATACTCTTCTTGAATACCTTTCATTGCTAATCTAAAGAAGACAAATTGTGTCTTCCCTAGGTGATGGAACCTCCTTCGACTTGTGGTAACCTACTTTTTCCTTTTTCTGTTGATATGCTTCTTAAGCTAACCTACTTTTCATTTTCTGTTAATAGGCTTCTTATACTAGTATGTGCCTATTGTAGTTATTCTTGGTTGCGCATGTTTCAGCAAATGGTGTAGTAATATCTTTAAAGGATGAGAATATCTGCTAGCCATAAGAATAGATTTGAACTTTAGCTTTAGGGCACTGCCTCTAGTTTTATAAGCTTCGTCATAAATCCCTGATGATGATGGTAAAAGGAACTGTCCTGCTCGTATTGGCACTACTTGATAGTCATTGCGGAGGAATAAGGCTTTAAAAGTTAGAAAAGTACTCTGGTTTTATGTTTTCCCTAATCCTAGGAATATCTATGTGCGGAATTTGATTTGTATTATACATAGCTCTTTTTCTTGAGTTTTTTCACATTAAAAAGTACCAAATAAATGTAAAGTTAGTCCATTTTACTGCATCTTGAACTATTATTCTATTTTTCCTCTTTAGGAAGAGATGGCCTAACACATAACATGTTGGACAATATACATGCTCTTTGGAAGCGAAGAAGAGTCTGTAAAATAAAATGCAAGGGTGTATGCACTGTGGATATGGACAATGTGTGTGAACAATTGGAGGTTGGTACATTCAACTTGCTCCCTAAACAAAGATTTGATGTCTTGTCATTCTCTTATGCACTGTGTGTTGTGTCAGTGTGTTCTTACATTGCCTTCTTCTTTCAGTTTCTTGATGGGCTATATGCTTTTTATTCTTCCTTTATTCCGTTTTGTATAACTTAAGAAATTGTGCGTATTATGTTGGGACCATAAAATGGTTGAATTTTTTCTGTACTGTACCACAAAATGTATTTTCTTTTGTAAATGGGTATCTGCTATAGAAAACCTTTAATCAGCAATTAATTGTTTAGATTTCACTTTTGCTGTTCGTCTAGATATCTTCTTCAACTTGGCTGTCATTAATGGTCTAGAATAACATTAGCTTATATATATACACACTTGATGTTGTCAATTCACGGGATCAATTGGAAGGACTGTCAACCTGTATTTATGACTTCAGAGCTATGGACTTGGGCTCTATTGGGAGCAGGATGCATTTGCTGAAATTTTTATTTATAAACAGCATAATATGTTGCTAAAAGTAGTAGACTCAAAACTACATATGTCAGTTGCAATGATGATGAAGTTAGTTTCTCAAAATGCTGAAACATCCTGTTCAGTTTACACAAAAAGTAGAAACCTTCTGGTAATCTAATATTTATCTGGAAAGGAGTGTTCTACGTGCTTCACACCTTCACCAAGAGACCAATAATAACATGTGAGTCTTTTATTCAGGATCCACTGATTAGGACTTGGAAATTGTACAGAGTTTATAGTGTCACCTGTCATATTTATTAAAGGGTGCTTGGCGGGCCATGGCGATTTGGTCATGGACTGGCCTTAAGGCGTGTGAAGCGAGGCTTGCCCTGGCGCCGCCTCGTGAAAATGCCACCACAGTTAAGGGAAAACAAAAGAAATTAAATGGTACAATACGTCTAGGTA